GGGGTCACTGATTATTACAAGTATCAGACTGGGGTCACTGATTATTACAAGTATCAGATGGGGGTCACTGATCATTACAAGTATCAGACTAGGGTCACTGATTACAAGTATCAGACTGGGGTCACAATCTAAAAGTGATGATGGTACACATCAAGTTGCATCAAGATATCTTTTTTTAATGGTTAAAGTTATGGCTTTGACAAGATTTTAATACAAATTTGCACCTATTTGATATGAAAGTCAAGGTCAGGAAACTCTAATAACAGTGCAAGGCACCTTCTGTATGTAATATTAGTACACTTCTAGGTTGATCAAGATAACTTATTGATGTACAATAATTACAATTAGGTGTACAGTACTTTGAAATGAAATATAGCTTTCCTACCTCTACAATAGTTGGGTTTTTTCCTGCGCTTCCCTTGGCCTGTCTCTATGTGTTGATCCCACTCCTCCCGGTATTTCCGCTTTGTGCCTTTACATGCCCCTATGGTTGCCATATTGTCCCAATTTCTGCTTCCATTAGTAATTTTTTTCTCTGTTTGTGGATGATTTTTCTCTGGTTTCTTATCTGTAAAAAAATAAACATTTCAGGATAATTTTCCACAAAACCATACTACCTTGTCATAACTACATTATCAGACTGGGGTCACTGATTACAAGTATCAGACTGGGGTCACTGATTACAAGTATCAGACTGGGGTCATTGATTACAAGTATCAGACTGGGTTCACTGATTATTACAAGTATCAGACTGGGGTCACTGATTATTACAAGTATCAGACTGGAGTCACTGATTATTACAAGTATCAGACTGGGGTCACTGATTACAAGCATCAGACTGGGGTCACTGATTATTACAAGTATCAGACTGGGGTCATTGATTACAAGTATCAGACTTGGGTCACTGATTATTACAAGTATCAGACTGAGGTCACTGATTACAAGTATCAGACTGGGGTCACTGATTACAAGTATCAGACTGGGGTCACTGATTATTACAAGTATCAGACTGGGGTCATTGATTANTATCAGACTGGGGTCACTGATTATTACAAGTATCAGACTGGGGTCACTGATTACAAGCATCAGACTGGGGTCACTGATTATTACAAGTATCAGACTGGGGTCACTGATTACAAGTATCAGACTGGTGTCACTGATTACAAGTATCAGACTGGTGTCATGGATTACAAGCATCAGACTGGGGTCACTGATTACAAGTATCAGACTGGTGTCACGGATTACAAGTATCAGACTGGGGTCATGGATTACAAGTATCAGACTGGGGTCACTGATTACATGTATCAGACTGGGGTCACTGATTACAAGTATCAGACTGGGGTCACGGATTACAAGTATCAGACTGGGGTCAC